TTCTATAGAATTTTTAACAACATCTGCGGTTCTGCTTTTGCGATAAATCTCCTGCTTCTGCAACAACCTTCGCTTCTGCGGACTCGCTTCTGCGGTCCAAGGACCCCTTAGCCCAGGCAGCATCTGTGACCATTGCGTCACTTCTGCAGTCGCGCTTCTGCGATACCTCATCCGCTTCTGCGATGCCAAAATTGCTTCTACGAGCTCGCACCTGCTAGCTAAATTCCGCAGGTGGGATTGCATCAGTAGGCAGCATCAAGTTTCAATTGTTCTAATTTCAAATTTGATCTGTTAACCATCCGAAACTCACCCGAGACCCCCGGGACCTCAACCAAATACACCAACAAGTCCTAAAACATCATACTAACTTAGTCAAAACCTCAAATCACATCAAACAACGCTAAAAGCACAAATCATACCTCAATTCAAGCCTAATGAACTTAAGAATTTTTAACTTCTACTTTCGATGCCGAAACCTATCAAATCAAGTCCGATTGACCTCAAATTTTGCACACAACTCATAAATGATATAACATAGGTATTGAAATTTTCAGAATTGGATTCCGGGCCTGATATCAAAACTTCAACTCCCCGGTCAAACTTTCAAACTTAAATTTTTATTTTAGGCATTTCAAGCCTAATTTAACTACGGACTTCCACAAAATTTTCCGGACATCCTCTTAAGTCCAAAATCATCATACAGAGCTAATGGAACCAACAAAATTCCATTCCGGTGTCTTTTACACATAAACCAATATCTGGTCAACCTTTCCAACTTAAGTTTTTATTTTAGAGACTAAATGTCTCAATTCATTTTAAAACCTCACCGGACCCGAACCAATTATCCCGACAAGTCTCATAACTACTGTAAAGCATAAATTGAGTAGTAAATGGGGAAACAGGGCTGTATTGCTCAAAATAACTGACCGGGTCATTACAACTTACCTCTTGGTTGATGATGAAATTGGTGCTCCAAAATCTCTCCCAAAGTCGGCTCCCATGAAGAAATGGAGTGAAAATGAGCCAAACCTCCGTTTTTAAAATGACACTGCCCAACACTTCCTTCTTCGCGAATGCAGCACGGCCCTCGCGTTCGCGAAGAAATTCCAGCCTCCGTTCTCCAGCTCCTCTACAAGAACACGAGACAGGGCTCACGAACACGAAGTTTTACCAGCCTGCCCTTTGCGAATGCGACTGCATACTTGCGAATACGAAGGAAAAATTCCACGGCCAGGCCAACTTCTATTACGCGAACGCGACATGCCTATAACGAACACGAAGAACAAAAAGGCCCAGACCCAAAGTCCTTCTTCGTGAACGCGTGAGACCCTTCACGATCGCGAAGAACAAAACCAGTACCAGCAACCTAGCTACAACAACTCAGCCAAATTTGGTCCGAAGCCACCTCGAAACACACCCAAGGCCTCCGGGACAACGTCCAATCACACCAACCAGTCCCAAGTAGGTCCGTAATATATTTTGGAACTTGTTGGTATATTTTGACGGGGTCCCGAGAGGCTCGGGTGAGTTTCGGGGTGGTTTCAGGCCTTTTCTATGCCATTTTCAGTTGCTGGATTTGGGCCACATAGGTATGCATTGCGACAACAGACAGACGGTCACGATCGCGAAGAGCAATTTTTCTGTTTGGATACTTTGAATCGCGATCGCGGAAGCCTTTTCGCGATCGCGTAGAGGAAAATTCTGCTGTACTAACCTGACTTTAGAAGCTTATATCTCGCAATCTATAAGGAATTTGGAGATGATCCAAAAAAGAAAGTTGTAGCCCTTTGTGTCTTTTGATTGACTTGAATTCTTAAGTAGACGTTATATTATACGGATTTCATGAAAATTCTGACGGGTTTCGAGAGGCGGGCCCCGCATTGACTTTTGGTTGACTTTTTAATGTGAGTTTTTAAGTTGGCGTTTTATTATCCGGAATTATTTCTGATGAATTTTAATGAAATTATATAATTTATTTGGCTAGATTTGAGCCGTCAGGAGGTCATTTCACGCAAGAAAGCTATTTTAAAATATCGGCCTAATTTCAAAAAAGTAAGTATCTTTCCTAACCTTGAGTGGGAAAAATTACCCCTTAGGCATTGAGTCTTATGTGAAAATTGTGTAATTGAAAACCATGTACGTGAGGTGACGAGTACGTACTTGGTTTATATGTGCAAATTACATTGGTTGAAATTCGTAGAAGCCCTTATGTATTAAATTGGAAAATTATTGAAACATAGTAAATCCTTGTTTGTTGAATTTATTTTATATGATAATTTGGTGTGATTGCCACCTTGATTTTTATGTGAATCCCGTGTTTTTGTTGAGTTGATATTTCCTGGAGATAATTTCATTATGGATTATTGATTTGCAAATAATTTATTAAATAAATTTAAAAGGAGGCATTAATCTATTTGCCAAATATTTGGATTAAAGAAGGCGTTGTTCCTTGATGAATTACTTTCCAGTTCATGTTGTTGAAATTGGTATTGAGTTATAAAGGTCGTAAATCATATTGAGGCAAAATGTTAAATTGTGAAATATTATTTTGTTGAGTTGTTCACTCCCCGATATTTTTGTTAAGATTTTGTGCACATTATGGTCGAGCCATGGGCTCCTTATTGTGAAAAATAATGTATTGTTGATTTCTGTGGCAAGTTGTGATATTTGAAAACTTGATGTGCAATTTGTGATATGTTGTAATATTTGAGCACTTGATGTGCAATTTGTGATATGTTGTAATATTTGAGCACTTGATGTGCAATTTATAATATGTTATGATATTTGAGCATTTGAGGTGCAAGTTGTGTTATGCTGTGTGATGTTAGGCCAAAATGTTATACTTTTAGCACATTACTCGCCCTATATTTTGTTGGTTTAGTGAGTTATTGTGTGATAATTGCGCTAAATTGTGTTGTGTTATGTGTAGGAACATCAGAATGAATCATCGAATGAAAGTTGCACAAAACAAGGACAAACAAAGCGCAAGAAAAGAGCCAAAAAAATCAAATACCCAAACCGTGCTATAGACCAAGCTTTGCGAGGTCTATATCCAGGTTGACCGTGCCATAGACTAGGCTTCGCGAGGTTTATAGCCTGGTCGACCGTGCGATAGACCAGGCTTCGCGAGGTCTATAGTCAGGTTCGACCGTGCTACAGACCAGGCTTCGCGAGGTCTATAGCACGGTAATTAAAAGTCGCAGGTTAAAAGACCCAAACCCAAATTTGGACCAGGGTATTGACATAAATACTCCCCAAATGAGTTATTCTAGGGTTGAACATAATTTTAGAGAAGAAATAGGCTGCCAAGCACCGTGGAGCAAGAATCAAATGAGTTTTCTCTTCCTTTATCTCTTTACTTTGTAGTTTATTATTTTTGAACATTATGTTGATCGTTGTTGTATTTATGAGTAGGTAAACTCTTTTATCTAAGGTTTGATGGAACCTTTTGGAGGATGATTTTCTACTACGTTTAATATAGATTTGCCTTTGATTTTTCTCTGCTTGTTCAACTATATTTTCATTATTGTTAATTGAAGAGATCTTAATTAACTGGGCCTATTCAGTGTGTATATTGCTCGAGAGAGAGTACACATTTAGATAGTTGTTGAACAATACCACTCCTAACGTAGCTGAAAGATCGATACAGAAGTTTTAAAGGCGGGATTAGAGATAACGAAGCCTTGGTGTGATCGTAGTGAGCGGCAAATTAGTTCCAGCTAGAGTAGTTTGAGAGAATACATCTAGTATATTGTGGTAGTTGCTCAAGAGAGAGCTACGGCTATCAAAGTACTCATAATTGGTAGAGAATATTTAGGCAAATTCATAGAAAACATAGTGGAAATGATTCCGACAATAAGGGAAATCATAACCTTAGACTTTTCAAAATATTGTCTACAACATTCGCTTTGATAGTTATAAATTACTGAATTTTTAATTACTTTGATCTTAGTTAGTAAACTCTCAAATTGTTATATATAATATTTTTGAAGGTTTATTACTTAAATTCATGCAAAACTATTGGTTGTAATTAGTACGTTATTTCCCTGTGGGATTCGACTCCGGACTTGTAAACCGAATTATCTTTGCAACGACCGCTAGACCTCTTAGGAGGCATAGTTGGGCGTGATCAAATTTTGGCGTCGTTGCCGGGGAAAGCAACAGTGTTGCTAATTAAAGTTATAAGAATTGTTAGGATTCTTAGTTTAGTCAATTTTCTCCATTTTTATTCATTACATTGAAATTCTAACGTTTGTGGTCTTGTGTGTTATCGGTGTATGCCTAGAAACTCTTCAAGAACTGGTGAATTATTTGAAGCATTACTGGATCCTGAGAAAGCTTTCAAGGCATTAAATCGTGCAAACAAGTAGGAGAAGCAACAACATCACCCAAGAGAACAAATCGAACCGGACATGGGTGACGCTTTGGATAATCAAAACAATAGAAACAATATGAATGACCCGAACAATTAGGATGTGGCGCCTCTTGTGCCAGAAGAAGCTTTGTATGATTGGGTACAACCCACCGCTGAAAATTTGGCAACTGCAATTGCAATCCATCAAATACAAGCGGGGTCATTTCAAATCACAAACAACATGCTACATCTACTGCAAAACAAGGGACTATTCTCTAGGTCTTACATTGAAGATCCACAACAGCATGTGAAAAATTTTCTATAAATTTGTGTCATGCAAAGGCAACCGAATGTGACACCGGAAGCAATTAGACTGTTGTTATTTCTATTCTCAGTGACAGGAGAAGCCCAGACTTGGCTTAATTCTCTCCCCATAAATTCCATAACCACTTGGGAGGAATTAGTCAAGCAGTTTTTGAATAAGTTATACCCACCCAATAAAACTGCCGAGCAAGTTGATAAGATATTAAGCTTCAGGTAAAAACCAGCTAAAATATTACAAGAAATGTGGGAGAGGTTCAAAGGTATGTTGGTTAAGTGTCCACATCATGTCATTCAAGATCAGATGTTGGGACAACAGTTATACATGGGATTGGCAGATAGCTTGAAGGACAATGTTGATGCTTCAGCAGGTGGAGCATTTTTGAGCAAGTCATTTAAAGAGTGTAAGGTCCTGCTAGATAAAATGGCTCAAAACTCGGGATGGATGACAAGAGACTCCACAATCACCCCTATAGTTCACTCAGTAGCATTGGACCCGAACAATTCTATAGCCGAGAATATGGCCAATTTGATTACGCAAATGAATATCCTTACCAAGAAGATTGATGAATCAAGTACACATAGTTGACACAACTAATGGGGGTCTATGTACACCATGCATTAACCAACCATACGTGTGTTCGTGGAGTGGTAAAAGTGAAAACCATAACTATCAAGAGAACATGAACTATGTGGGCAACTATGCAGGTCAGAGAAAAGGTTGTTAGAATTGGGGGCAGCAAAATCAGTAGTATAGACCAGCACAACAACAGTACAATAACACCAACAATCCTGGAGCTATGCGACCACAGGTTCAAGTAGTACCTTACCAAAGGCAACAAGGATACAACCAGCAAAATCAGCATCTAACTTATCAACAACCTCAACAACAGCAGATAGTGAGGCAGGATGATGGGTTATATAAAATTAAAGGAATATTGCAACAACTCATTGGGGTCAGCGAGGAAATGTAAGAAAAGGTCCACGAAATACAAGAAAATGTAGTGTCACACGACTCAGCTATCAAGGGTATTGAGATTCAACTAGGGCAATTATCCATGGCCCTTAACAATCATCCTCAAGGGACGTTACTTGCTGACACACATGTCAATCCAAAAGAGAAGGGACCGAAGTCGCTTATGGCGGTAAGCTTGAGAAATGGTAGGATCTTGATTTAGAGCAAGAAATTACTCATGAGATCCGGTCAATTGAAACACTTCTGTTAGTGCCAATTGAGTTAGATGAGACAACTGAGTTAGTAGAAGTAAGAGTACAACCAACCCACGAGGAAATAAATAAGGAAAAAGAGGTTGCGGAAGAGACTGAGAAAGTGCAAGAGAAGGTATTAGAAAAAGTGCCTGAGCAGGATCTAACTCAAGCCACAGGAAAGAAGCGACCTCCAGCACCATTCCCGCAAAGGTTGGCCAAATATCAGAAGGATGAGCAGTATAAAAAGTTCATGGAAATGCTAAAGCAAATTCATGTAAACATTCCTTTAATCGATGCTTTGAAGGAGATGCCTAGTTATGCTAAAATGATGAAGGACTTGATGTCTCGTAAGTTTGACTTCCAAGACTTGGCAATTGTCACATTGACAGAGACCTGTAGTGTTGTTGTGTCAAGACCTATAGCTGAGAAGTTATCCGACCCTGGAAGCTTCACAATTCTATGAACCATAGGTAGCTATGCATTTGCCAAAGCATTGTGTGATTTGGGAGAAAGTATAAATCAGATGCCATTGTCTATCTATAAAACGTTAGGCATTGGAAGAGCAAAGCCCACATCCATGTTACTGTAGCTAGCTGACCGAACGGTGAAAAGGCCAGCAGGTATACTTGATGATGTACTTGTACAAGTTGGAAATTTTGTGTTTCCAACGGATTTTATCATTCTGGGTTGCAAGGTTGATGAGGAGATTTCCATAATTTTGGGAAGAATGTTCTTGGCCACAGGAAGAGCTCTGACTGATTAAGAAATGGGGGAGATGAAGATGAGGCTGAATAATGAAGAAATAACATTTAATGTGCAAAGGTCTATGCAGCGACCCAGTGAGTTTGCAAATTGCTCTTTTTTAGACATGGTGGATGTAATCACGGAGGACGATGATGAGGCACTTAATGCAAAAGACCCTATAACAGCCTACCTTATGAACTTAGAAGAAGTAAATGGTGAGGACTTAGAGGAATTGGTGTTTGATATTCAAGGGCAAGGGTACTGGAAACGAGAGCTTAAATTCGAGCCTTTACACTCGAAAGAAAGAAAGACCCCTCCAACCAAGCAATAGATTGAAGCACCACCATAATTGGAGCTGAAACCGCTACCAAATCACCTCATGTACGCTTTCTTGGGACCTAACTCGACTTTACCTGTTATTATCTCATCTGGTTTGTTAGATGTGCAGGTAGAATAACTTTTATAAGTGTTAAAAGAGTGCAAGACTGCAATTGGTTGGACCATTACAGACATTAAGGGTATCAGCCCCGCCTTCTGTATGCATAAAATTCTACTGGAAGCTGGGCACAAACCTTCAAGAGAACATCAAAGAAGGTTGAACCCTAACATGAAGGAAGTTGTTAAGAAGGAAGTGATCAAGAGGTTAGATGTGGGAATTATTTTTCCCATCTTTGATAGCAATTTGGTTAGCCCAGTTCAGTGTATGCCAAAGAAAGGTGGGATAATTGTTGTTCAAAACGAGAACAACGAGTTGATCTCAACGAGAATAGTCACGGGATGGCGAATTTGTATGGATTGTAGAAGATTGAACAAGGACGCCCGAAAAGACCATTTTCCCTCGTCGTTCATTGATTAGATGCTAGATAGATTGGCAGGGAGGTCTCACTTTTGCTTCTTGGATGGATACTCAGGGTATTATCAAATATTTATTGCCCCAAAAGATAGAGAGAAAATGTCATTCACTTGTCCATATGGTATTTACGCTTTTCGGAGAATGTTGTTTGGCCTATGCAATGCACCTGCCACATTCCAAAGGTGAATGATGGCCATCTTCACAGATATGGTAGAAGAAATAATGGAAGTTTTCATGGATGATTTCTCAGTGGTGGGAAACTCCTTTGATGATTGCCTTAGAAATCTAAAAAGAGTGCTGTAGAGATGTATGGAGACTAATCTGGTGCTAAACTGGGAAAAATGCCACTTTATGGTACAAGAAAGTATAGTCTTGGGACACCTTGTGTTAAGCAAGGGCCTTGAGGTGGACCATGCCAAGATTGATGTAATAGAGAAGCTGCCACCACCCACTTCCGTCAAGGCAATAAGAAGTTTCCTTGGTCGCGCCGGTTTTTACAGGCGATTCATAAAAGATTTTTCCAAGATTGCTAACCCTTTGTGTAAATTTCTTGAAGCAAATCACCTTTTTGTGTTTTCTGTTGACTGCAGGGTAGCTTTCGAGGGATTGAAGAAGAGGCTAGTGTCTGCACCTATCACAGTTGCACCTGACTGGGAGCAACTATTTGAGCTGATGTGTGATGCAAGTGACCATGTTGTGGGAGCAGTACTTGGACAAAGAAAAGATAAAATCATGCATCCAATCTACTATGCAAATAGAACATTGAATGGCGCTCAACTGAATTACACATTAACAGAAAAATAGGTGTTAGATGTGGTATTCGCATTTGATAAATTCTGATCCTACTTGATAGGCTCAAAGGTAATTGTTTATACTGACCATGCTGCTCTCAGGTACCTAATTGATAAGAAGGAGGCAAAGTCACGCCTGATTCGATGGGTTCTACTGCTGCAAGAGTTCGACTTGGAAATCTGTGACCGAAAAGGAATGGAAAACCAAGTTGCCAATCACTTGTCCAGGCTTGAAGGAGCTGAAACGAAGGTTGAGGTGGAAGAGATCATGGAGACTTTCCTAGATGAACAACTATTGGCCACGAGCCTTGAGCTAGCGCCATGGTATGCCGACATTGAAAACTACCTAGCAAGCAGTATTGTTCCCTATGACTTATCTTCTATGCAGAAGAAAAAGTTCTTTCTTGATTGTCACATGTATTTCTGGGATGAACCATATTTGTTTAGGATTTGTAATGATAACATGATCCGGAGATGTATTCCCGAGGTAGACCAAGCTTCTGTTTTGTAGGCATGTCATGCTTTGCCTTATGGAGGCCATTTTGGAGGACTAAGGACAGCTGATAAAGTGCTGGAGTCAGGCTTTTATTGGCCGACGTTATTTAAAGATGCACATTTTTGGGTAAAGATTTGTGATGAGTGTTAAAGCACGAGGAATATTTCCCGTCGACATGAGATGCCCATGAACCCGATTCAAGAGGTAGAAGTTTCTTATGTATGGGGAATCAACTTTATGGGACCATTTGTCAGCTCATACAACAACAAGTGTATACTCATAGCAGTGGACTGTGTCTCGAAATGGCTAGAAGTTGTAGCACTCCAACAAATGATGCAAAGGGAGTTATTGGTTTTCTAACAAAAAGTATCTTTACCCGATTTGGAACTCCAAGAGCGATCATCAGTGATGGAGGAACTCACTTCTGCAATCGATCCTTTGCAAAGTTACTGGAAAAATATGGCGTATGTCATAAGGTTTCCACTCCATATCACCCATAAAAAATGGTCAAGTTGAGGTGTCAAACAGAGAAATCAAGAGTGTTTTGACCAAAACTGTAAATGCTATTCGGACTGATTGGGCGAGAAAATTGGATGATGCACTATGGGCCTACCGCACTACATTCAAAACTCCGATTGGTATGTCACAGTACAAATTGGTGTACGGAAAGGCGTGTCACTTACCAGTGGAGCTAGAGCATAGAGCTTTTTGGGCATTAAGGAAATTAAATCTTGACATGGAGGCCGCTAGTACGAGTAGAGTCATAGAACTTCATGAACTCGATTAGTTCCGTTACCATGCTTTTGAAAGCATCAGGTTGTACAAGGAAAGGATGAAGATCATGCACGACAAGCATATTCAATAGAGGAATTTCAAACCCGGAGATGTCGTGTTGTTGTATAATTCAAGATTGAAACTAATTTCGGGTAAGCTAAAATCTAGATAGCCGGGACCATTTAGAGTGGTGCAAGTTCTCTCAAGTGGAGCTGCAGAAATTGAATCCGAGGATGGAATGAACAGGTTTAGAGTCAATGGGAAAAGGCTGAAATATTACCTTGGCATGGAGGAGGAAAAAGTTGTATTGCTGATTCATTTGAAGGAGCCTCAATTGTTGAGTGAACCTTAAGTTTGATCGTATGCATCATGCCGTGACGTTAACTCAGGCGCTCGTTTGGAGGCAACCCAATGTAAATTTTATTTTAGCTTAACTAGAATTTTCTCTTTGTTTTTTACTCACTAACAAGTTTCAGTTAAGTTTTGGTGTTTGAACAGGTAACAGAGCTCTTTGGGATGTCATTGCGCTTGGAGTTGGGCACAACACGGAATACAAATCACATGAGTACGGTCCAGACCTCGACATCTACAACATGCCACAAATACTAAGGAACAATGGATTTGGCAGCAAAACTCGCATCGCCAGGTAATCACCTCGCATTTTGCCTCAAGTCGCCAGGTCATTACCTCGCCTTAAGCCTCGCGTCGCAAGGGACACAGTGAGCAAAACTCGACGTTAGCCTTGCGTCGCACGGTATACAATGAGCATGACCTCACTTTCGCCTCGCATCGCGGGGGTTATAGCTAGCTGGAGCTTGCGTTTGCCTCGTGTCGCGTGGGTTATAGTGAGGTTAGATGTCTTTGTATTATTTTTTAAATCCAACGCATTATTACAAAACACACACACATATTCACTAAAACACAACAAAAAAACCCTTTTTACTGCCACTACTATTTTTCCTTTCCCCCTCACACACAAATTCCATTGAAGACATTCACTCATCATCTCCTTTATTCACTTGAGACACCAATTGAAGAACACTTCAATCCTCCTAAGCATCTAAGGTATGTTTGTTAGGATCGGGAACCCGGGTAGTGCGGAATATAGCCAAACAACGGTATAATGACAATAACAAAGACAATGGAAGTTGATAACAACGACAATTAAAGTAGATAAAGAAGACACAAATTTAACGTGGTTCGGTCAAAGTGACCTACGTCCACAAGCGGAGAGGAGCAATTTACTATAACAATAAGAGTACAAAAGAGAGTACAAAATTAGAGTAAACACTCTAATTAATCCCAAATACCCTAAGAGAATAACCTCACAAGATCACTCCAAAGAAAGGGTTCACACAAGTGCTTCCCAACACTAACTCTCATACAAAACACTCTTAATAAAGGAAGAAAGGAAGAAACAAGAATTGAAGACAAGTCTTGTTGGTGTGTCTAAAATGAACTAATGGCCTTCCCTTTTATAGGCAAAAAAGTCTTGACCTCTTAGGTGTAAAAGAAGAGATACAACTTGTGCAAATGATGTCCAACACACAATGCAATATTTTTGGGTCCCAAAGAATATTGCCAACAAAGTCTACACTTTGCAAAGATACTTATGCTTATGTGAGATGGACTCCATTTGACAAAATAATGGCCATATTACAAATCTCCACCTTGGCCTAATTTGGATGATATAGTATATTTGCTCCACCTTCTCCGCAAAAGCCCCAATGGGCATATGTCAAAATTTAATGTCATCAAAA